AACACTCAAATTACACTCGAGGGAGGGTATCCAACCCTTCACCAAAACACACAATCTTTCTATCAGAAACGATATAAATCAATCTGAAACAACAACAAATAGGACGGTCAGATCACATCTCGTCCAGAAATAACATATAAACTGTCACTTTATGTTTTTTTACTGTTTTTGGTCTTTTTTGGATTTTTTACTGTTTTTTGTACTTTTTTGTTTTCAAATAAATTTATTTTTGGCTTTTTCTTGGTTATACACTATTTTTGTTTGGTTTTACGCTTTCTCTTTAGTTGTTTTTGGTCCCGGGACCTCGGGACAAGCGGGCTCATGACTTCCCACCTAACCCTCCGGCCCCCGGAATTTTCGGTGTTAACTAAGTTAAAAAGCTAAATAGTACTGGACGGAGGGTACGCACCTTCCCCCCAGTACAATAACGGTCATTAAGTCCTCTACCTCGGGCTTACGCCCGGAGCGGAGGGTTCGTCGCTGAAACGCTTGCTGATCATGATGGTCTTATGCCTTTAACAGGCCCACCCAGGAGCGCCATAAAAACTTCTATGTAACATTCGCCCAAATTACTACACAGCGACGGAGCGTAGAAAAAGTACCTATTAACGACTGGCAGGCGTCAGTTACCTTAATCCTACTCGTTTTTCACCGTCTCGACCTTGCCAGTTGATTTTCTGGTCTGTTTAGGTCAAAGTAAAAAGTTACCATTTTTAGGCCATCAGTCAAACGACTTTTGATCAGCTTTCGTTTACATGCGAACACAACCACATAGCTGAGTCTCGGATCCTCAGACTACGTGATTGTCATTAAAAACACGGCTCGAACAACCTATTTTAATTTGTTTTTGTGTGACAGTTCTACATTAAGTCCATTGGAGATGGATTGACCCTTTCCTCTTTCTAGCTACTCATATTCTAAAATATCAAGTTACACCGGTGTTAATTTAAAGTTTCACGATATCCAAGTAGCTATACAGTCAGTTTTATACAGTCCCTTCACATAAACAGTCTCTGGGGGACCAAGCCTCCGCTCCCGTGATATTCCAGCGATAACGCTCTTTTTTCTCCTAATTTGCGTCCCGGGAGGGTTCCGTGGAATACTCCTTCCCCACTGAAGCTTCCTTCTCCACTAATATCTGCTGATAAGGGTCTTATCGTGCGTTGCTGCCACGATAAGAGGCTTCGTATTTTCCGTCTCTTGTACGACTGTTTTTCACAATATTTGTCGTTGTTCTTATTTTCGTCACTTTTTTGGCTCAAAATGGCCGTTTTTCGTATTTCTGAGAAATATCAACTTGAAAATCGAATTTTTAAAAATAAATATTCCAGAATATTCTGACCCTCCTTTCAAGCACTTTTTTGCTGTTAAGGCCTTTTCTCTCTGATTCGTGCTTCGTCGGAAGGTTGCGCTGTGCCATCTGGCAGAATGGCACATGCTGCAGTTAGAGAATCTTGATGTACGAAACAAAATCTGGCCCAGAAATGTCCTAACCAATCTTTTAGCTGATCGCACCAAAAAGTTACTGTTGACAAAATGAAATCGTTCAAAAGCCATACATGAATAGGTGTGCTAAAAACTATCACTTGAGAGATTTCGGTCATTCAGAAATGATATTGACGACAATTTTTTGGTTATTTATTTTTTGGAATTACAACAAAATGATTAAATGATTAAATTTTAAATGAACAAAAAATCATTGCAGTTATATTCCGAAACAAGATAAAATCATCACATTCGAGATCTTTTCTAAGAGTTTGGAAAACAAGAATGATGAAAAGCGAGGAAACTTTCATTGCTTAGTGTAGTTAGTGCCAGTTAAATATGTGGCGCATAATTCCGTATGATAACCTAATTACTGTCCCATATTCGAAATCAACAAATTACCAGAAACTCCGCATAATTGAGGCAATTTGGTAAAACAAAAGTGTGAAATTACAAAAAATGTCCTTTTAGAAGTATACTCTGCAAGGTCAGAAAATTTATTGATTAATTTTTTATTTGAAGTTATTAATTTTTAATGCAGAATCTGACGCTTGAAAACCTCAAGTACCGATAATGAGTTTCCGAAAAAAAATCAGCTGGTATAATTGTATGGGGAGGCTCGTCAAATTACCATTTTTGGTAAAAACATGCTCAATTTTAGGAAAACATCCGCATACCATATATAAAGAGCTAAAAACTGATTGGAATTAGTATGACCAGTCAATTTTTTTGCAAGGCATAAATCATACGCGCATTAACATAATCAACTCTTTTTTTCATTTTTATTTAGTTTCGTGAATAGCATATTCGCATGGCAATGCTTAAAACCCGGATCGATCCGCACGATTATCAAACTTTCTTTGTGAAGAACATCTGATTATAAACAAACTCATCCCAAACGTATAAATTCTCCACTTTTTTCGAACTACGGGAAAAAAGGCCCGCAGACAGCATGGCATAATTACACTACATACACTCATAGGTTTTGCAAAGCTTGTTTAGTGCCAAAAAAGTCTTTTGTCATATAAACGGTTGGGTGGTTAAATTACCAGAGACAATATCTACCAGCAAAAAAAAACTTACAGCAGTTTTTCTGGTAGAAAAAAAATCACCCATCAACCTATATACCCATATACCCATGTACCTGAGTAAAAACAAACGGAATAAAATTTGACCTCATTTGATTTGAAACAACAAAACAGCTCAATTAAAGGAACACTTCTCAACTGGATTTATACAATACTAAAAAAAACAATAGTGGAGGGGGTTCAAGTTTCAAATTTTCACAGAAGTTTAGCAGTATTCACAATGCAAAAAGACAACTTAACACAATAAAAAAGAACAAATACTGAACCAGAATATGCAATTGACGCATGCATACCTTAGTAAATATTCTAGTTCAGATCTAAAGTAATCTTTTCCTTCGTAAATTACAGTTCTGAATAGGTTGTGAAATAATAAAATGACGATTGGTTACTTTAGGAATAAGTTATTTTTTTGCAACTAGTTTCAGATCTGAAATGTAAATTTTCATATTTATAATGACTCTGATACAATTTTTGCAATTTTGTAATTCATAGCTTCTGCTAGCTACTATAAAAGTGTCTCATGACAGCTGAATTAGGTTTCCCAAAATATGCGATAATCATAGGAAAAACAGATGAGTAGCGGATGAAATTTTTCACCGCTAACTAATCAAAGTATATTTGAAAATTCCAAAAAATAGCAAATAAAATCAAATTCTCTTGTTTGCTCGAAATTCAGCTTTTAAAATTTCAGGAAATATTTCTCAGATCGAGATTCAGATCCTACATTTTGTTTTTGATGGTTACTTCAGAACTGAGATGTTCTTTTTCGATCTGTTTTTCATATCTTTCAAGTTTTCAGAAAAGTTTGACATAATGAGTTTTAAATCTGAAAGTCAATTTATCTTAGAAAAAAAGTAGAAAAAAAAACCTACTCGTTAAGGGCAACTCGTTAATCTATCTAGTTTTGTAATAATAAATACTGCATAATAAACATTTAAGAAATCTCCAAGCGCATTTTTAGAAAGTTTTTATTTAAAAACAACATTAATGATAAATTCAGAAAAGAGAAAAATGATTCAACTCCACTGAGCAAATGGGGAAAACAACTCTAAAGATTCAGGTTAATTTGTTTCTCAGCTATTTGGCTAAGATAAATCTGCACCTAAAACCTAGATTTCAAACTTCAACTTTCCCATTTTTGTCAAACTTTTGTTGAAATTTTCTTATGAATTTTCTAACTTTCAGCGGAAGAAAAAACAAACAAATGAGCAATCAGGGTAACAGTTTTGAGCTTTTCGTAGCTAATTAAAACTTCAAGGTAATTTATTAGGATCGCGATTAGACTGGGGGCTTTGTCGCCGCTTTGTCATCTTCACAAGGCAAGACAGTAAACCAGTTCGCCTAACTAGCCTAACTGGCTCTATACTTGTTTTCAATATCCATGCTAAATGCAGGAGAAAAAATTGAGTCCGATCTTGGGATAATGTTTTTAATCGGACCGGTACATTAAACGTTAGAAAAACAATTTAAAATTTAAATAAGTGTAGTATATGTAACGCCACTTTATCGTGGACAATCAATAATTTTCGTGGAAAGTGCATATTGAAAAATAACTGAAAACTTGAGATTAATTTGTGACGATGTTGCTAAAGCTTAACCTATTTTTTTTCAGAAACAGAAAAATCTTCTAATCAAACCGATTCTGATCATGTAATGAGATACGGCGTATTGGATTACAAAAACACATCTTAAAGCTCCTTAAAACAGATGAACTTAATGCAGCAATGAACGAAGGGGCTACCTTTTCGAAACATAAATTCGACTCAATTTGTGAATCAACTAAATCTCAAGTCATGATGAAAAGTTGTCAAAGTTTTTGCCTTAAATTTTACAACGAAGTCTCTGAACTTCTTCTTAATTTATCTCTGATTAACTTGGCAGTTTTCAAAAAATACTCGAAGACGTCTTTTTCGAAGAAAAAACAAGGTTTTTGTTTTACCTCGAATCTCATGCAACACTTACATTGGAACAAATTGTCTCGCCCAACTTCTAATAATTTGCTATATTTTTTTGCAGAGGAATGATTTTGTACCACCCAATCTGAAAAAAAATGACTGAAAAACCGAACCTTGAATTAAAAAAGTTAGACTCTTTTCCACTACCCCTCCCCCCCCCCACACACACACACACACACATTTCATTTTAATTTCGTTTTTTTTTCTGTTGTTTTGCGATTATGGCTAAATGTGAGATATTACGATGTAAAATAAGAAGACCAATCGTGTTTACAATAGTCAGTTTGTTCTCGATGCAAATTTCATTACATTATGATAATGTGAAGTTAGTTTTTGAAAACGAAATTTAAATTTGGAGGGAATGGAAAAGAACCAAAAATTTTACAGAAATATGTAGTTGGAATTGTTTCTCGTTGGCGAATCCCTTTGTTGTACTTGAAGTTTTTCACCAAAATTCTGTAATTGTTCAAGAAAATATTTGAAATTGAATTCTCATTAGGATGAAAAATAAATTCTGTTTCTTATAAATCTAAATCTACTATATGGAAGGATAATATTTCAGATTAAAATGTATTCGGTTTGACCTGACTACATAATTTGATGACCACAAAATTGATTTGAAAGCCACGTTTAGTTTCTGCTTTCCAGTTTCTCAAACTCAGAGATCTACTTTAGCTTTATTTTTGTTCTTCTTTGATTTCTTATTTGCTTGTTTTCCATCTGACTTTTGTTGTTTATCTTGTTGTTTTTCTGCTGATTCATTTGCTTGCTTTCCTGACTTTTTGTCCGAAATCAAAGCATCTGAAGCATCTTTTTCCTCTTTCTGCTGCTTGCTCCGTTTAACTAGGAATGAGTTGTCTACTGTGTATGGCTCAAGAGGTGACACCTACGATCAAAATGAACACAATTCCAACAAGACTGCTCCTATCAGGACGAAGCCTTGAATGTTCCGACTGCCTTTTAAGGTTTATGGAGCAGCAGTAATAACATAAAAAAAATTAAATGAAATAAAATAAAACGAAAATATTTTTTCTAAAATTTGAAATTTTTTATGAAATTATGAAAATCATCCCCCCACACGCCATATAAAGTACAAAAAGATAGATTTCGTTCCTTGTAACAAATCAATTATGGCAAATAAGTTTAACCAATTTGGAACGATTTATAAGACAGATTAAATCTCCGCTCACGCATTAATAGCGCGAATTATATCGCGCGTTAATTGTCCCAAATTGGTCAAAATGGCAGTCTTGAAACCCTCATAAGTTTACGAAAAATGATCACAGGTGAATTATCTTTTCAAATTTAAGCTCAGGACAACAATACTTTTTGAATGATAAAAAAAATTCCGTCAAAAATGGCTAATTAAAAAGTCGAAGTTTGTCTGAAGAAAAAAAAAACCACCCCGAGCACAAATATTCCGTTACTTTCGTATCGAAAGTCGGAACAATAAGTGTCTACTTATTAACGGACCTGTTTTCGGATCTTGTTAGCAGCTCCCCCCATGCCGCTACCCAGAGGCGGATTTAGGGGGGCGGGGAGGAGGGCGGACATTCCCTCTTCAGGGATTCGACCCCCTGCCGACCCAAAGGGTCCCCCCTGTGGTACTTTTAAGAAATCCAGTTTTGGCCGATCAACCTTGAAACTTTTCTCAAGGCGCCTTCGCCTAATTTTAGGGGAGGGGGAGCGCCTGCCGAAAAAACGCAATTTTTCGGTCAAAATTTCCAAATTTTCCAAAAAGTGCCTAAAAAAAAGGTCGACAAAACTTTCAAAAATCTTTCGAAAATCCGCCGCACCCCCCCTCCCCTCGAGAAAATCCTAGATCCGCCCCTCTCGCTAACGAGTACAGAGTAAAGAATTGCCACTCCTATTAAGAACAATTTCAGCGGCTAAAAATTTTGGATTTTTTTTGAATTTTAATGAACCCATCTCTTGCAATAGGAAAGGGGTGATAGTTAACGTTCTCAAGTTTTCGTTTAACCCACTTTTTCAAAGTTTTTCACTTACACACTGTCCCGCGTGATTTGGATCAACTTAACAATTACACAAACTTAATTTTCCAAAAAGTGCCTAAAACGCCTTTTTTGGACTGTTTTTTTCAAAAATTTGGCGCAAAAAATTTGGCCAAAAAAGGGACTAAACCGTGCTGCTCAGGGCATAAACAGCTCAAAAACCTATTCCGTCGAAGGTCGACCAAAAAAAAGTTAGACAATTTTTTTTGAAAATCTGAAACTGTTCTTTATAGGGGTGGCAATTCTTTACTCGGTTTTCAGTAGCAATTGTTAGAGGGGGCAGTTGTAAGTACAGGGTGTTTCAAATAAACTGTAATTTTATAAAACGCTATAACTTTTTTTTGAGAAGAGATAAATACACAATTGTTTCTGCACAAGATAGATAAGTGGCGGAGATTTGAATATCTGATAAAATTGTTTTATAAAAGATGCTGAAAGTGTCCGCCGTTTTGAGCAACACAGCTTTGTAATCTTTTCGTCGAATTTCTCAATGACTCTTCGATATTATCGGGCGTTATTGTATTTCGGGCACCTTCTACAGTTTGCATGAGTTCGCAATACTTCGTGGATTCGCACCATGAACAATTTTTCCCAGATGACCCCACAGCCAAAAATCCAGGGGATTCAGGTCCGGATTCTGAGGTGGCCAGGGTATAGGGGTTCGTCTACTTATAATTCTGTCGTTGAACTTTGTCCCAAGCCAACTGAGTACGCGTCCCGTGCAGTGACATGTGGCTCCGTCTTGCATAAACCATATGCGCCTCAAGTTTCGTCGTTCTCGAAGGACTGGCCAGAGGTCGTGTTCCAGCATGTTCAGATACGAAAACTGGTTCAGTGTTATTGGTCGTTGCTGTTCGTCTACGAACCAAAACGGGCCAAGAACAGCTCCTTGAAGGAAACCCATCCAGCACATCACTTTCTTTTTGCCCTGGTACTTGCACTCCGCGTATTCTCTGGGGTTAACTAAACTCCATCTCCTATCGTTTTGAGAATTTGGAGAGCTGTCGAGCACCCACCACTTTTCGTCTGAGAAAATCACCCGTGATGTGAAATCTGCCGCTGTTTCAATCTTGCTCAAGCACCAGACACCAAAAGTAAGTCTCAAACCGAAGTTCGTCTCTTTAATTTGGTGTGTTTTGAGCACTTTGTAGGGCTTCATTTTGGCAGCTCTCGCGACTCTCCAAGTTGTGGTGCGGCTCAACCCCAAATCAGCTGCTGCTTTAGTTATTGAATCTTTAGGATGAAAATCAAACTGTCTTATAATACTGGCATTCGCTTCATCGGTTCCTGGTAACCCCGTTCCTTTTCGATGCTGCCCTTGAAATTTCGATAACCCGCCTCTTTCTTGGAACCGTTTCCACACTCTGATAAACTGCGTAAGTTGAAGTGTTGATGCAACGCGTGGGGCAATGTAATATTCATTGATATATCTTCTCCGAACTTCAGTTGGGGATTCATAAATTGCAAACAAACAAATGATCCGTTTTTCTTCGTTTACTGTGAAAACCATTTTGTTGTTTTCATTTACGTATGAACAAATAGTTTTAAAATTTTTTTGTTGCGTGGAAGCGTGAAATCGCGGGTATTCACTATCGAGTTCAATTTATCAACGCAGTTTTTTGAGTTTTATCAAATCTCCGCCTGTTCTACATAATATCACCGAATTTGAAGTCGAACTGATCAACAGTTATGAAATGAGAAGCTTTTATAACATTACAGTTTATTTGAAACACCCTGTAGATTAAATTGGCAAATTTTCGACCAATCAGATTTCAGCAGAACTCGAAATTCAAATACAGCGCTATAGTGCTAGCTTACTGCTTTTCTATATAGGGGTGGCAATTCTTTAGTAGAATTATTAGAGATACCAAAAGGGTGGCGATTGTAAAATAGACCCCGTGATTTTTGCGGAAAATAGCTTGACCTTTTTTAGAAGGAAAATAGAACAAAGAAAAAGCGTTTTCTCAAATTGGTCTAAAAATCTACTGGAATTATAAAAGCAATTATGCGCGACACAGACTCGATAATAACTTTAGAGAATTGAAAAAGTTAGATATTTGAATATAACTATTTGGCAGAATATTGTTTCGACTTTCTAAGAAAACGAAATATTTATGCTTGGTGTGGTTTTTTTATTCAGTCAATTTTCGGCGATCGAAATGATAAATTTGACCAGAACATTTTTATGCCTCATTGAAGATACCGAATTCCTGAAATCAAATTTAAAAAGATGTATTACCTCCGATCATTTTTTGCAAAATTGTACGAATTTGTAAACAGCCAATTTGGCCATGCTCTGGACTAATTCATGCGCGCGTTTATCCATAATCTTGAAAGTGTAGCGCGAATTATTTATGCGTGGAAAAATATCCCGCACAACAAAATCGATCCGAATTGAATTGAGGCTAGCTAATCGGTCGTAGTAAATTCGTACAACTCAAATTTTCACACTTGATCTTTGAAATTGTCCAAATTTGAAAGTTTTTCAATTTTTTCTACTCCCAAAAGTCAATTCGATATGGGTTAAGTGGCAGTCAGAATATTCAGGGCTTTGCCCTGATAACCGCATAGTCTTGTTTTTATAATTCACTACACGGGCAATTTGATGGGGACGTAGTGACTGGCGCTTGTGCCCCTTAGCGTGCTCTGTTAATATTACTGATCAGCTTGATGCAACAAACATCAATATTCGTTCCAAATTTGAGAAAAAACTCAATTCTAATTGCGCTAATGTATTATGCGGCACCAATATTAAGCTGCACATATGCAAGCAGAACGGGTCCCCCCTTTGATGATTACCTTTCCACACTCGGTAGTGTAGTTGGTGACGGCCATGGGCTCTAGAGTGTCCACGAATGTGTTCAGCTCACACCATCTACCACAGTTGGGGATCTCCAACAGGTGGAAGTCGGAAGTGTGGGTGCTGTTCTTGAACAGAGTCTTGATGTAGAAGTAGTCAGGGTTGTCCTGGCTCTGGTACAACTGCAATAGATAGTAAAATCATAACGAGAGAAAGCACTACAGAAAGTTCCGACTGCCCAGCTATTTTTCCGACCACACAAGTCGGAAGCAACGACAGCTATTTCGCAGATAATACTTAAAACGCCAGCAAAATTTCACCCTTTAGAGAGCCCCAAAATGAAAAGTTTTGGTAGTTCAAAAATTAGGACAAGGCATGAATCTGCTAGTTGATTGGAAAATTTGTAATCGAAAAAAAAACGGTAAAATTTTTTTTTCATATAAATACATTTAAAATTTTGATTTTGGGCTGTAAAACAGAAAAGATTGCCCACAAAACTTCAGTTGTAAAAAACTTTTTACAAGGGATACCTCGAACAGTAGACACGCAGCGAATCCTGGCACGTGACTGAGTTCTATGCCTATGGCCTTTGTGAGGGACATCATTGAACTGGTATGTCCAAACAGCAACTTCATCTTGGGCGGCATGTCATAGTCCTTGATACAGTCTTCCACTGTAAATACAGTGAACTCTTGAGTAAAAGAATTTTTTTACAATTTCTGCTTTCAACAAATTTTTTACTGGGGAGGCGACTTTTCTTATAACGACCTGCAAAAAAAAACGTATAAGTCACTGAGTTTTAAGGCTTTTTGGCCAATTTTCTCTTCAGTTTATTGACCTAAGCTTACCATTTTTAACCGTGACCTGCACGCAACAGGTTTTTATTCTTATGCAAAAAATCAGTGCTTCAGTTCAATTTAAATCATTCATTCTTTTACATTCAAAGTTTATTTTCAGTAATGAAATCTTCATTCGATACTTAACACTTCTGATAGTTTTTGGTTCCAGTGACTCATCGTATACTACTAAACAGATGCATTATTTATTTATCCCTCGTCAAAAGGTATAAGTAAATAAGGCATGGGTTTTTGTTGTTTTTTCTTGTTGTTCTCGAAAGTCATTCCGGAAAAACTAGCAGCAAAGTTAGCATTTATCATTTATTCAAGATATAAGGGGGAGAGGAGAGGGGTGGAACACCCAAGGGTCAATTGAAAACTAGAAGAGCCGATTGACAGAAGATCCCATTAACCATTCGAATGTCAGCGTTGGAAAACCGAATGAAAAATCGTTAACAAGATCAGAGATCTAGACAGAATAAAGGCTTTTAAATTGTTTAAAAAATATCTGCTATGCGACCATTTTGTCGTCGGAATAGCCTCGAAAAGTTAGTTTAGTATGAAAAGAAGGTTGAACTGACCGTCGTGGTCGTGTGCGCATGAGTTGATGGCGGCACTGGCGGATGTCTTGAGAGCATTGAGGATGATATTCAGCACTGGTCCCCCCGTCAGCCTCCTCTGCTCGTCTTCCGTGAACAACAGGTCGTAGTCGTGCCTATTGTGTTGAAAATTAAGGAATTCATGCGAAAAACGATTGAGACAAAAAATATGGGCTTGGCACTTTTTATTGATCTAAGAAAGGCATTTGATACAGTTAATCATTGCATTCTTCTGGAAAAATTATGCGCGTACGGCTTTCGAGGAAAATTCAACAAATTCATATTAAGTTATTTGGCAAACAGACAACAATTTGTTGTTAATTCGAATGGTACTTCTAGGCAACAGGTGATATCGTACGGAGTTCCGCAGGGCTCTGTTCTTGGACCCCTTTTTTTCTTACTTTACATTAACGACATAAATAAAGTTGTTTCGAAATCGGAATTAAGTCTTTTTGCGGACGACTTTGCTATTCTTGCTTCTTTCCCAACGGCAAGGGTAAATGACTACTTTAAAAATGATTTGCTGAAAACAGATGACTGGTGTGTGCGAAATAAATTGTCGATAAGCTCTACAAAATGTATAATCTTACCATTTGGTAAACAATGTTTGGATAATGACTTTTCACTTGCGGGTGAAAACATAGGATTTACAAATTGTTTCAAATACTTGGGTGTTATCATTGATAGTCAGCTCAAATTTACAGATCATGTTGAAACTGTGTGCAGAAAATAATCAGAAAATAATCGTTTTATCGCTGTAGGACAAAAACTATGGAAAACTTCCTTTCATGCAAAATTGTTAAGTGTTTCAGTTTTTTGATGTCAAATAAACTCATACCCGATAAGATCGAAACGTACTCTCAAGAACAGCTGTCAAAATTTTTAAAGATTTTCAAAAGAAATTACATTTTAGACAATCTACAGCTGGTCGACAATTTTTTTCTGATTTGTTTACCCGTTGTCGTTACTTAATTGTGATAGTTATCCTGGAGGGTAGCTACTTGTTAGGTTGAAAAGCCTGTTCTAGCTATCCTGATGCAGTGAGTGATTACGTATGTATTTCTTCACTGTATCGAATAATTGAATTGAACACTAAATAGTTGTCAGAGAAGAATTGTCTCAAAACGGAAAAGCAGTTAATATTTTTGGAATTCAAATATGTCACTACCTACCAGTTAGTACGAGTTAAAACATTCCAGAGCTGTTTCTAAATTTGAAATGGTTCGAGAAATGTATCAACTAGAAGCTATCTTCATTTCAACAAGCCAGTCGTTTTTTTAATTAGTGGTCTCTTGTACCCTGAGGCGACGATTCGTAACGGACGATAATTCATAAAAAGTGAGAATTCGTAACAGACGACTACATGTACTCTTAACAGCCGTCTGTTACGAATTGTTGCCCAACCACCTGGCGTATATTGTAATTCCTTAGAAGAAGTGCTTAAGCAAAAATTGTCAATTATCAAAACTAAGCCACATTCTTTGACATTTAAAAAGAATAAAGACGTGCCAACGAGCAAAAACAATCCACCGCGCCAGCCATTTAAAAAACTTCGCGCAATTTTTTCTGCTTACGTGTAAAGAGCCTTGAGTTGGTTCACTATGTCCTTCGTGGCCCAGTGGGGGAGGGGCAGTCCATACGCCTTCATGGCATCCAGTGCCTCGTGCACGTCTCTCAACTCATTGAAGTTGGTCAGCTGGAACCCCGTCACCTTCGTCATCTTTTCAAAGAATTCCTGGTGACCTAGTGTTAAAAAGCAGGACAAAAATCGTAATCGGTGACAACATTTGGATAATTGAATTATTTTTGTAGTACCGCAGTTGGATTCTAGTCTTTAAACCAGACCCAACTTTTTAACTGCTTGGATTTCGAGGCTGGGAATTTTGGCCTCAAGAATCAAAAGACTAATTTAAGATCAGCGTGTTGACAAGAATTTGTTTTTTTTGTTTCACGAAACAGAATGTTACAAAAAGTTAAAAAATAAAAAAAATGTTAACCCGTGTTTTGATTGTTAGTTTTTTTGCATCGCTTAGAACGTTATTTGAAACAACTTTTCAAAATATGTTATAAATTTTGCCGAAAAAAACTGAAAATTAGCTAAGCAAGAATTTTTTATAAAGTTATTGAATGACATATTTCATCGATTACAAATTCACGGTTCTAAAAACGGAGATAAATTAGGTTAAAAATGATGAAAATAAAGCTTAAGAACAAAAAAGAAGAAATAAATCAAAAGTTTTAGCAATCAAAGTATTTTTAGAAAAAATTATATGATAACATGAGAAATAAAAAAGAAATTAAAATGGAAACTATAGAACAATTAAAGTAAATTTCAAGTACCTTGTAGTGCGATAGTCCTGAGGGGTCCGATGGTCTTGCGATTCAATTCAGATAGCCGAGAGCAGTTGTACCTGTGCAAAGTTAGGCGGTAGTGTAACCGCATATATAACCACTCTGCTTGAAAATATGAACTTATTTATTAATATTAATTTGACTTGACATACACTTTGTTTTTTTTTCAAATTATCTTCAAATTCCAACAAAATGCTTAGTTCTTTTTAGCAATTAATCATTCAATTACGCCAAAATTTGCAGCCGATTTAATCTGACACCGGATTTCGACGGCCCTCCCAACACAATTGAACCCATTTTTTTTAAATTTCGAACATTATTTGGTACTTTCGCAAAAATAGCGCAAAAAACAACTTTTTGATCTTAGTAGAAAATATCTCTAAAAATTATTTTGGAAATTTGTTCTCTCAAATAGTTTTTAGCTAGCTCAAAATGCTTCAATTATGCGGAAATTCTCGGGAATCTGTGATTTCGAACTTGTGGTTTAATATGCGGTATTTATGCGGGATTATGCACTGCATATTCATGCCAAACCTGACCATGACTAAGTCGCGTGTGTTGGTTAAAAGCCGCCAATAACCCGGGTTGTCAAAAACTGCCTATCCTACAAATTCATGGACTGAAAAAAATGTAGCAAGCTTATTACCAAATTTTTTATCACAAAAACTTTATGAAAAACGAAAGCAAAAACAATTTTTGTACTATGAAACTGTATGACAAGTAATGTTTCTATACTATTCAAGTGTATGACAAGTAATTTTTCTGAAATTTTTTTAAAAAATGTTTTCAAATTTTGTGTCTCGCCCGAAACACTTGCCAAGAATTATCAGTCATGAGGAAAACCAGAGTGTAACTGGCAGTAAACACGCAGATAAACTCCATTCGGTGATATTAGCCATGTAAGTTAATGTTAAAATTTTCACACAAAATTAAATAGCAGAAAGGTAACTTTTTGAATATGGCTAGAAAACTTTTTTTACAAATATATGTTTCTCTTAGCATACACAGCAGAAAAATTAATTGTGTTTCCAAAAAGCACTTGCTTGTCATTTTTGGATTTTTGGGGTAAAACTCAACTCGAATACGTTGTAGATGCAAAATGTCAAAATTTGTTAGCAAATTTTTTCCGTAAAATTGATTTGGAAGCACAAGAACAAGTTTGCAATCAATTGAAGGATAAAAAAAATGTATACCTCAAAATTGTATTAATTTTCCTATGGAAAAACGCAAATCCTGCAAATTTCGTATATGAAATTGTATGATAAGCATTTTTTTGTTCAAAAAATGTTTTTGATCCCAAAGTTTTAAGTCTCGTATGTAACCGAAACTGCCATCAATTTGTTTTGTTTGAGTTTTAAACCAAAGAAAGCTAATTTTTGAAAATAACTTTTGATTGAAAAATGCTTGTCATACAATTTTCTTCTGTCAAAATTGCATGACAAGCATTTTTTCCATAGACTTCATATATGAAATTCTATGATAAGCGTTTTTCTTGTATGAACGTCAATCCAGGATGTGTTAAATTTGAATGACACATTGAATTAATGAGTGGATTCCAAATGGATTTTGGAGACCTATATAGTTAATACCCGCCCAATTCAAGTAGTTTAGGGTGTTTGATGCCAACTTACGCCGAAGGAGGAATTTCTGCATAGCTGCATTTTGGATCTCAAAATCAATCGACTGATTTTCCAACTTCAACATGCAGCTAAGCAAGTTTAACGAGAAATTTAAAAGGGGGTTGGGATAGACCTTAATTTGATCTATTTAGGATGGGGGGATGTTAACTCAATCCGAATTTATAACCCAATGTTAAAGCTCAGTACACATACCATTTCTCCCTGTACGTGAGTTCGGCCGTCTTCTCAACCGGGAACACCTCGCAATCGGGATGCACGTCCATCCCACTGCACTTCTCAAAGTCCTCCTTCTCCCTCCTCAGATTGTAGAAGCCTGCCATTGTATTCTGGGCAGAGAGAATCGAACGGGTTCGACCGGTGCTCACGATCGAGATCTAAAACATGGCGAACAGAAGGCGTGCGTTTCTGTGGGGACTAGGGAGTTTTTTTTCAACCAAAACAAAATTACGGTGAAGCAAACCTCATTTTTCTAAGCACGCCGATATTTTTCTGGGGGGAAAAGTCCGAAGTTTACCCCAAATGCTAAAAACCGTTTTTTTAAGTCAAACGTGCTATCAAAGAGAAAACCGAAGCCACTTTGGAACCACCTAGAGCTATTTATGCAGAGTTTACTTGGGAAGCCACAACGGAGACGGTGGCAAATTTGCCGAAAATTAAATCGATAGCCTGAACGGTTCAGCGACAAAAATTTATCGAATCAGCGCCAGCTACTCTAAAAGACATTGCGATACCGATTCAGCTGACCCTCTCCATTAGGGGGGATAATTTTCTAGTCTATGACTCTGGGACTGATGATGCTGACTGCATGCTGATTATCTCTACGGAAGAAAAATTAGATGTTGTGGAGAGCAACACAACTTGGCATGCTGATGGAACTCTTAAATCTTGCCCCACACTCTTCTATCAAGTATTCACCACACACGCTATAGTAAACGAACAAACAGTTCCAATGGTATACTTTCTTTTGACACAAAAAACGGAATAATAAAATCTGCAAGCTTTTGAAGAACTGAAACAGTTAAACCCCCGCCTGGACCCCGCAAAAATTCTGCTGGATTTCGAAAAAGCGTCGATCAATGCCTTTCATTCAGTTTTCCCACGTGTCATTATCAAAAGATGCTTTTTCTTATCCTCCAATGTGATCTGGAGCTGGGTTTCAAACGCCTGAACGATCAATTGGGCAAAAATTCTGTAGTCATTCCATATGTGGAAAATTTTGAAAAGATATGGATTGGTCCAATGTCTCGCACAAAACGCCAATCAGTTTCCTTCCCCCAGATCGCTGAAATCAGTTGGAGTGCGCGCGAGATCAAAAGCAAAAGGGGAGAAGGCATCGATGGCGAAATAGGAAAAAACGCAGTTAAGATTGTCTGAGACATTGAGAAACTATCAGAACAATTGAATCAGTAATATACTACAGGGAGTAGCATTTAACTTTGATTTTTGATTTGTTTAATTCCTTTTATGTTAATTAAAATTTCGATTATTTCTTTTAATTGTTAATCATCAAACAAAACATTGATACGAATTTCCGCTTGTTTCGAATCGTCGCTTGTTACGAATAGTCAGTCGCCTTTTAAAAAATTACGAATTGTCGCCTGTTAAGAATCGTCGCTTGTTACAAATTGTCGCCCAACCATCCAGAATATCTATAAATAATAGGCTTCTGATGAATATCCAAAATTGTACTATCGATAAAACCCTGAAAGTATTAGCTGAAATTTTTTTTGTGACCAAGATTTGCTCTGCATAACTAATTTTGCCCCGAACATTTGCTAGTCGTAGGCCCTCGTAACTAGTTTTTCCTTTTTTAATCCTGTTTTATACAGTGTTTGACTATACTAATTGTGGCATCTGGCTAGAGTCTCCCTAACGCCTCTGGAACACATTGGATGCTTTAAGGACAGTAACATCAGTATTTTACATCAGTAACCACTGAATATTGATTTTTTTTATTCAAGACGGGCATCAGCCTCAAAACAAAAATTCAAGACTAAAATTCAGAATAGTATCAGAAAATAGAAAGGCCTTAATTCGAGTATATAATTAGAAAGTGCTGTCTGTGGAGTGTCAAAAAAGCTCTACAGTGCCGGGATTTGAATTTCAAAAATTGATGATGAAAAAGAAAGATGGGAACAAAACATGGCAAAGCAGCTTTTAGGTCAAATACGCATGCTTTAATCAAAACAATAAAATGAATGACCCGCAGGCTAGCAGTACGGCTTAAATATTTTTTCATAGCATGGATTTGCTTTTTGTAGCCTAATTACAAAAAGATAGATAGAGCCTACAATTGTAAAACATATAAAGTTGGTTTAAAATTGACCAAAACAGTACTCAAAGTTCACACATTTTCATTAAAAAAAAACAATGTTCTCATATTGTTGCACATAATGTTCTGACCAGATTCTAAAAAACACACAAAATTTTTTTCAAATTTGTGTCGTTGTTTTTTGCAGGGTGTGATAAAAGGATAGCGAAAAATTGAACAAAAAAACTGGAACTTAGGAAAATTTGACAGTCAAAGTAAAATAAGCAAAAATTTTTGAAAAATGACTCAGAAAGCAAAAAAATATCGAAAAACCATTCGAAAAAAAATTCACATTGTATCTAATGTGCTCCCATTTTTCTAACATTTAAAAAGTTTTGCTTAACCTAAAACCTTGTGTTTGGTGATAAAGGCAGTCAGAATTTTCAGGTTTTTACCAGATTCGAGAAATTCTGTTGAATCTCATTTTGTTGGGCTTATATTTGAAAAAACAGGTATACTGCTCGTGAACCAGGATTTGATTTAATGTTTATATATAACATATCTGCAAATAAAATCAAACATATGATACAAATTGACGCTTATTAGACAAGGTCGCCCTTGAAAATTTACTAACTTGAGCCTAATAAGAATTTGGAAACGTCACCAAGCAACTGCACTACTACTGATTGCTAAATAACCTTTGTTTTTAATAAGGAAAACTGTTGATGTCAATAAGGACGTGAATGCTACAATGTATTAGGACATTTTCTATGACTTTTTTGATATCTTTGATAAGACATTTTATTTTCTGGTAGTCAAAATCAGCTATTCTAAAATATACATAGTTAAAATTCCTTGCGAGTTGCAACTTACTAAAAGTTTGCCGGAGTGACTCTGCTTCGTTTTCAATCACAGAAAAAGTATTTTAGAACAATATTGCCCGTAGTGGTCTTTCATTTTCTCTTCAATTTTTTTTATTCTTCAGGAAAATTTTCATTTTTTTACCTCAATTTTTTCTTATTTTTCATTTTTTTTCCAGAGCATTCAAATAATAGTGCAAGTTAACTGCTAAACAAATATTGGTGCAGTTAACATATTTCATTTAAAAAAAACTAATTATGGCTTAAATCAATGTTTTCTTGTTATTCGCTACAAATAAAACACAAACTCATTAACTTTGACCCAATTTTCTCAACAGTGAAAAAAAGTAAGGAAAAATCTCACGTCGATTTGATCACAACTGAATTTTTTTTTCGATATATTACTAGGCTCAGAGCAGAAATGGGTTCTTTCCCGCGAGAGAGGCGGGTATTCAAAATAATTAGCCGAAAATTTTGATAACCTTTTTTTTTAGCGCCGCAGAGAAATATTTAGAAAAAACAGGCAAAAATACTGTCCAGCAAATTTTTTTTAGGTCGAGCAATTTGTTGTTTTTCTGAGCTCTAGCCCAAATCACTGTAAAGACTTTTTTTTTGACCAAATTGTCTGCGCCTCAGGCAAAATTTTGAAAAAACAGACCAAAAAAGGCGTTTTAAGGCACTGTTTGAAAACATTTCACCTCAAAATCAAATTTTTGGCGTGCGCTCCCCATCAAACTTAGTATATATTGGTCAAAAGAGTCCTTTAGAAAAGTTGAAGGGTCGCTCGACCTAAAATGGGTGTCGTTCAATAGTACCAATTGTACTTTGGGTGGTGTTGGGGTCGATCTCAGCAGAAGAAGGCGTAAGCCATCCCCCCTTCCCCACCCCAAAACCCACCCCCAAAACACACCTTATCTCGACCAATTGTGTTGATTATTCGTGCTATTCGGGGAGAAAAAGTTTTTGTACTGTGAATCGATCTGGATGAGGAAAATAATCCAGCTCTAGGTTAGACAAACAGTAATTAAAACTTAAACTGTAAATGTTATCAAGTCAAAAAACGCATCATTCAACGACGTTTTGAAAGCGACTCTCATTTAATTAGCTCTGATTTTATTGTTTAAATCGTGCCTACGATGCCATACAGACACAAAAAAACTAACTATATTACAATGTGTTTCGATAAAAGCGTTTGATGATCTTCAGAACTTTTGTTCAACCACCAAATTTTATCAAACAATCTGGTCGATTATTCAAAAACTATCAAGCATGAGATTTATGGCAATTTAATTAGCTTTGCTTAAAGTATTACTTTACATTTGAATCTATTAATTAAATGGCCTGGTAGTTTTCTTCTTTCGAATCAATTACTGTTTATTGTATACATTAATTTGGAACATGGTGTTTTTTGGATGCAAGAAACGTTTCAAACAGCTTTGCGCTACTTTAATTGCTCTTTTGTTTATGCGATTATTCTATTCAAAAGGTTTGTTCAGAAATTATATTTCGGCTGTATTTTATGTCAAATCAAATCAAAAACTGTTAATTTTGCGACCCCATTTTTACATAGTGGACAAAATTAAACGCAAACTCAAGCATTTACTTTGAAGCCTAACTTTAAGGACCATTTTGGACAATATTTACTTTGAGTTTTAACAAAATTTTTGCAGCAACCGGCAGCAAAGAAAGAAAGATGTCTTAATATTATCAGTAAAATACAACCGATAAAGCAAAGATAGCTCACACTGGGGGACCACCACAGTTGGTTGACTTTACTAATGAGTTTTCGTTTTCTGTTGCTACGAAGTGTCTTCTAATCGATAGGAACTCTGTATAGACAAGATGGATTAAAAACTGTCATTGATTTCAGTCTCGCCGAAAGGTATCGATGATGTCGTTGTCTTTTTCTTACTCGTGAGGGTTTTGATCTCTTTCCAGCTTTTGACAGAACCTTTTGTATTCTTGTTTGATCAGACATTTTCGCCGAGAAGGCGCTCAATCTTTCGTCGTTTCTTCAGCTTGTTTTAATTGCCCTCGTTGTTGATACTTGGATTTTTTCAGCGGGATGTGCTTCACCACTGGATTCATATAAATTGGATCTTTATTGCTCATCTTGACTGATTTGAGTGGGCAGCACTGTTGATAAATTTCTTTCAGGGTAAGCATTATAAAGCCCGTAGCTTCATTTTCGCCTTCCAGACTACAAGGGTGTGAAGTCATAATCACCACGAGCTGAATCCAATTGGTGTCTCTTGTGTTAGCTTGGAGTGGAATTTTCAGACCCGGAAAAAAACTGGGAAGTGCTTCAAAGAAAAATTGAGACTTCCGTAGAGGGTAGTTTTGGTAGCCCTCAAAGTAAACATTGTCCAAAATGGTCCTTAAAGTTTAAAAGTAAAAGCCTAAATTAGCGCATAATTTCGTCCTCTAGTGTATATATTAGTTTGTGACTTAGCTCAAACTACATTTTTTATTGTACATTTTAGACAGAAACAGATTCTCAGTAAGTACTGAATTGTCAACTGATGTTTTTATAGATATCTACAGTATACGGGACTTCATTGGTGGAGCCGAAACCCAAAAGTAAGTAAATTCTATTTTCTAACACTCTTGAAGGGGTGAAGGAATTATTTTGAGCGGTAAAGTAACTCGAAGAAATAATTCTCAACGTAAACGTAGAATGACACAGAAGCAAAGCGGAGCTTTGCACCATTTGCCATATCACACAAACATAGCTTTAGAAGCTAGCAAAAAAAACTATGAAAAAGTCGAAAATGATAAAACTCAAAACTTTGTCTCCATCGATGCTCAATTTGAGGATTACATGTCAACCAAAACTAGGTGAGTAGCGTAAAACATCAAAAGATTCATGTTTAATTTCAAAAAGGTAAAATCAGTCAAAACTATTCAGACCGAAAAATTTTCAAGCAAAAAAAAACAATTTAAGAGGAAAATATAAGAAGTCAGCGCAACTAAATTTAACAATTACAAAACACTTGCCACTACTATTCCGTAACATAATTATATGATGTTCCAACAGTACAATGAGTCTAGTGTGATGTGTCAAATAAGCTGACAAAATATAATCACAAAAAATTGGCTATAAATTGTTTTTGAAAAAAAACAGGTTCTTATCGGACTCGAACCGACGACCTTTACCGAACCGGCGCAGTCTTTATTTCTAGGCCAAGTGTGCAAAAAAAGCTTTTCAATAAAAATCAAATCTGTTTTTTGATTTGATAACGCGTGCTAACCAACAGCGAAATAAGGTTTTAATTTAAATCATGAAAATACTTCCGTATCCGTACTCTAATGGTAACTATAGGTTATTCATCTCCAAAACAAAATGATTCAAATGACAGAAAACTGTACATGTATCCCTACTGAAAGATCTAGTTTTAACCATTTTTGCTTGCAAAGTCCATAGAAAAAAATAAAAACAAAAAAAATTTTCTGTTGATTTGTTATAAATGTAGTTAACAAAGTAAAAACTTCTATCAAAAAAAAAAAATGAAATCCTTTTCTATTGAATGAAACAGTAGGCATTTTTTTTTGCAGAAATCAACACTCCGGAAAAAAAGTTTTTGCATGAATCAACAATCCGAAAAAAAACAGACCGGTCTTCTATGTGATAAGCTTCGCGTTCTAATTTACCGTACCGTGTATCCGCTGCCCAAATTGTAGCTCCAGGAGTCTACTGATTTTTGTTTTTATTTTCATTCAGGTGGCATATTTAACGCAGAGGTCAAGCGGAACTTGGCATCACTTGCGATACTACACAAACATAAAAACATGAGAAAAAAAAAGTGCAGCTAAAGAAATATTCGAGCAGACTAACGAAAGTCTGTTAAATCTATTTTTACCAGAAAACAATTTCAATTTACTGGAAAAAGCAGGTCCGCCCGGGACTCAAACCCCAGACCTTAGGTTGCAAAGTTAACCACATTAGCCAAGATGAAATGAACCTGAAAAAGGTAAAGAATAAGGCAAGTGAGAAAATTGAGTAAGGTTCCCAATAGAAGTTGTTAAAAGGGAAAATAACGATCTAATTCCTGGTAAGAGACATTCGCTCTCGCAAGCATATTTGAAATCATCTTCATTGAAAATCTTCAAATCATTATAAAAACATTCAAAAACTACATTTTTGGTTTCTAGTTATTTTTCTAGCTATTTTGTGTAAAACACAGAGGTCAAGCTGGACTTCGGAAAAACATCATATATCTCAGGAAACATAGCCAACAGAAGTTTGTTCAATTATCAAAAAATAAATAATTTAAGTTTTTTAACTTTCGCAAACAACTTCGCGTTAAAACTCTTTTAATTTCAAGAAAAGTTTCTTTTGGTTGACATTTTATTCTATAAAGATCTTAAAACTTAAACCCCTTTTTTAAATAAAAAAAATCTCTCATGTTTTGTCACGTCATCCTGAAAAAATGGATAAAAACAAGCCGCAAATATATGTTAGCTACTCGCTCGATAACACTTAGAAAGAGAAAACGTTGCGATAAAAAAAATCAGCAGAGTGTGACAAATGAATTGACGGAAAATTTTCTGGTGATCTGAAAAAAATTTAGCATATATACAAAACCCCAATTTTTTTTGCAACTAAGGTTAAAAAAATTTGTAAGACATTGCGAGTCCAAACTGTGCACTAGAAAGGCGCACAATTTTGTGTGTATGTTCCTGGATTCCCGAGACAAATCTTTAAACATGCTCCAAATTTCCACGACAGCTCAGGTTTACTAAACGAATATTTTATTATTTGTTTATAGATTCCACTATTTACTTCGGATTCCGCAAAATTGCCTCTGTTGTTGGGGCGATTTTGAGCAATACAAGGTTTTAGCTATTCTTCTATGGAATCCAAAACAGTTAAGAAGATCAAAGAAAGTGAACATTGTTAATGTTTCTGCAACAATACTGTTCTCGGCCTCTTGCGAAATTCTCCTGCAATTCACAAAATGCACAGATTGCTTTCGTAATGGAATTTTTTACTTGAAGAGTAAACAAGAAAAAATGTGTCGACGTAGCTGAGTTTCACTGAAGCTTGCTAGCAAACATAAATTTGCACGAAACATTTGATTTGCAAAGTCGGCTCTGCAATGAGCTTTGTATCAGGCCGTACACTTAATTAAAAATTCTGATACAATTTTCTTGACAAGAAATAATTTTTTTGCGGATCACATCTCATGGCCAAATGAGCTTTATTATGACAGATCTGGGCTCGTCAATACAAAAGATGAAATGTAAACAGCCTTTTCCATCCAGGGTTGGCAATTTTTTCTAATATTTGAAACGGTCAAAACGTCTCAAACAAAAAGTCTAAAAAAAGTTTTTTTTCAAGTGTTTTTTCTTGCGACGATGTTGAGGTCTACACCATCAAGTATTCTGAATGATCCCTCAAAAATTTCAATTCGCTTTAAGTAGCTGTAATGAAAACTAGTTCCACCCAATTGAAACAGAGAAAAGTTAAAAAGTACACCTGAATCAAAACAATTGTTTTAAGCAGGGTTTAAACAACAATTTTTCGCCAACGGTACTTGTTTCAGATATTTTTGTTATTTGATTTTTGATATTTTAACAGACAGAAATGCAGAGAGTTGCTGCTCTTTTCCGCTACCCAAAAATCATGTGTTAAGGCCAGAGTGTATCTGTTCAAATACCAGAAAATTCTGAAGCAAACTGTTTATGTTTCATCTGTTGTTCACAAAACCCAAGAAAAAAGTTTTAAAAACCTAATGAAACCACCAAAACTTCCGCCTGGTTGTATAAAAACTTCAGTGCAAAGCAAGGTGGTTTAGAAAAGTTTCGGTTATTTGAAAACCAACGCAAGCCAGAATAAGTCTTAATTAGCAAAACGAGTGACAGCTTTGTTGATTGTTTCAGCTCTTCACTAGAAGATTACAGTCCTCGGCCAAAAAACGTTTTAGTATTTCCCAAAAACTCATTTCATGGACGTTTATTTTCTGGCAACGCCAGAAAAAAATGTCGGCTCAACTTCGACTGCGATTTCTCCCAGATCAAACAGCAAGTCAAAACCTTATCGAAATATGATCTAATAGTGATTGGAGAGAACGAAGGAGTAGACAGAATGGTGAAGAAAATTCACAAGCATCAGTACGCCAAAGAGAGGAGAAAAGACCAAATATGGGCATTCATAGCAACAGAACCGTCCACAAGACTAGAAAAGTAAATCAATTTAATGTTATCAAGACTAGTCGGCAAATACAAACCAGCTACCATTTAAGCCAGGTAGAAACAATATGTTTAGCAACTATGCAACAGTTACGAAAATCAAAATAAGTTCAAAAAGAATGACGTTAATTTCGGTTGCTTTTTAATTTTTGCTAGTTTTTGGTTCGTTTGTACTTCGGTTGGCTCATTAACAACTGTAAATTCACACCAGTTTTGCCACACAAGCCATTTTTTTTTACATTGCAGATTATTTTATAAGAAATATTTTTTCTTCTAATGACCAAAATTAATTATATTTTCTCTAAAAAAATAAAGAGAAATGGGAGTAACAAACCCGGGTTGACCTCCATAGACCAAAAACGCTAATCATACAAGTAGTATATGTGGGAGGCGATCGGGGGGGGGGGGGGGGGGGGGGGGGAGATGATCTCCATGTATTAACATATGCTATAGAGTATCCGGTCATCACCCTATGTATTAAGATAGGGAATAGATTTCCCAATGTATTAAGATAGGGAATAGGTTTCCCAATGTATTAAGATAGCAGGTTTCAGATGGTAAGGTTTCAGATGGTAAGTTTCAGATGGTAAGTTTTTTTTGTCGCCCGAGTTTCTTATGTTTAGTTTTCCCTATGTAATGGAAATTCATTGTAGGGAATTAGGAAATCCTTAAGATAGGGAATAGATTTTCTATGTATTAAGTTAGGGAATAAGTTTCCTAATTAAGATGGTAAGGTTTCAGATGGTAAGTTTCAGAAAAAAATTTTGGCGCGCGATCTTACCATGTTTTAAGACTTCCCTATGTGAAAGAATTCAGTGTAGGGAATTGAGAACTCATTAAGAGAGGGAATATGTTTCCCAATGTATTAAGAAAGTGAATGGTAAGGTTTCAGTGTGATGGTAAGAAAATGGTAAGAAAAACGGTATTTTTCGATTTTGCGTGGAAAGGTCTAATTTTTTCGCAAAAACTTCAGCACGCGTTATTTAATTAGTGAGTATTACGTGTAGATTTTGTAATGAAAGTATTATGTTTTTTTTTGGTTCAAGGTAGGTCAATGGTAAGATGGGCAAAAACTTGGATTTTTTATCAAAAATTTTTCAAAAAACACGATAAGATTTGTTATAATTCGACCTAATAACTCATTAATTAGATCATGTTCTTTTTTTGAAACAATGCTGAAACATACTGAAACTTCGATAAAGCCAAGGTTTTTGGAAAAAAAATTGCAAAAATTTTAATTTTTTTGGAAAAAATTGCAAAATTTTGGATTTTTCCACAATTTTCACTCAAAACATTAAAATATGATAAAATTTACCCTAATGAGCTCGGAAGCAGGTTTTATAAAGTTCTGAATATCAGAAGGAAATGTCTTCATAATGCCTTCAAACTTAGTGAAACTTCAAAAAAAGTCAAAATTTTTGGAAAAAATTGCAAAAATTTTAAGTATTTGGAAAAATTGCAAAAATTTCAAGTTTTTGGAAAAAAATTGCAGAAATCTCATAGTTTTGGCAAATGAATTGTTGCTTCTGATCTAATTGAAAAAATACTTTTACGTACAGAGTTTAAAATTGAGCTCAAAATGTATTTTAATTGGCATCATGTTGAGACAATGATACAAAAACTTGAACAAAAATATAAATTTTTCCACAATTTTCTCTCAAAATATTGAAATACGATAAAGTTTACCAAAATTTGAGCTAAGAAGCGGATGGTATAATGCTCTGAACATATAAAGCTCGTAATAGCTGAATCAATACTGAAATAGTGAAAATAAACAATTTTCGAGAAAGTAAAGTAAAAATTAATCAAATCTATCCAAAACTTTTCCTTTTTCAACCTTTTATTTGGGTAATTAACTGGTTTTTGTCCACATCAGGGAGAATTTAAAAAATAATCTCTAATCAAATGAACGAAAAGCGCAGTATTCATAAATATTTCTAGATGACCATCCGTGATTCAACTCCTTCTCAGTTATTCCTCAATGATTAACCCAAATTTGTACAAAAATTACAACTTCTGAGAAATTTTTTAATGTTGATAATAACAAATTTCAGATCAATGATGAAAAATGAACAATTTACTGCTGCAATTGACAAAATTGAGGTAAAATTTTAAAAAAAAGGTGTATTAGATAATAGATGAAATTCAACAAATTCTTCTTCATAACTGATGATTATCTCTCTGTTGCTTTTAAAACACAGTTTTCATGATTTTTCTGTAAAAACTTTCTTTGTCTGAAAGTTCTTCTTGTTTTCTGCTTAATACATGTTTTCTCTATTGAACTCACTTTACAAGACGTTTTGGTTAGAACTGGAGAATTTAGGAGGAAAAAAGTGTCAATTGAACGAACAATTTGCTGGCAGAGATGAAATTAGAACTGATATCGTCTGATTATTTCGATGTAATTTGTAAATATTTTCCATTGAATTCCCTTGTTCAGTTGCTACAGTAAACTTTTTAAGCAAAAACACAGTTTTTGAGATCATTAACTATCACTTTTCTTGCAAAATAATTATTAAGTTGCTTTTTGTTCTTGATTTTTGTCAAAAGTTTTCTTCTCAAAAATGTCCATGTGAGAAAAAATCAAGGCTAGTTAAAGCAATCAAAAGCACATGTAAAAATTGAGAACATGAAGGTGTTTTTTTACGTTGAGTTTCCAGAACAAATTAAAAGTAGCTCTATTGGTTATAATCTGAAAACATCCGGAAATACGCAAGGGAACCTAATTCCTAACGACTGCAACATCTAAAAATTCTAAAAGAGCGCGTTATAAAAAAGTCAATTTTAAAGAAAAATCAAGGGACAAACTGTAACAATTGAGTATTTTAATAATCGAAATTTTAATGCTTAAAAAACTAGAATTCTACCTAATTTTTCCAATTTAAAAAAATAACAGAACAAAATTTTTACTGTGTGTCTTTTAGAAATTTTTCAAGTTAAGTTTCATTTAATTCAGAGATCTTACATCTGGTTCTGCTAAAGTATCAGTTTGTTAAGAAATTTTTAGCAAGCTCCATAATATTTTCTCTAAAAATCTTTCTACATCATTTTTTATTTGTTTTTGATCCAAAATAATGAAATACAGATCTTGAAAGCAAATTTTTTGAGCTCTGATTTCTGTAAAATCTTCCAAATTATGTCGTTGTTGAGTTTTCTTTGCAAGAATTATCCTCAAAACATCTGATTGTTCAGATAAAATTACCTATAACAATTATTTCAGTGAATTACACATAAATATAAATCTTTGATAGTTTTTATGTTTGGTTTTTTTCTCAAGATAAAACTAATAAGTGAAATTTTAGTATAATTATCTCAAAACCACTAATGAAATAAATTGAGTTTATATCTCAATTTAGAACTTTCTCAGTTTCTGCTTCATCTACTATCTTCCAACTTAATCCTATTTGAACAATATTTTACTTGAAAACTGAATTTTAGATGGAAAAATGTATCATTTCAACGATTGCTCAAAGATGCGATGCAGAATTATTACCATAAATCCTTTGCTAAAAATCTTCAAGCGATTTTCTCATCCAAATAAATGTATGTTGCTGTTTCAACTCTGAATTTCTTTACTGAGGTAAATTTTTGGTTGAGAATTATGCATATTATTAAATTGAAGTTTTCACAAATTAGCAACAACATACATTTTTTCAATTTTACTATGTCAATTCTCAATTTTTCTTCTGAAATCGTCAAAAAACAGTAGAAAACCATAAACATGAATACATTAACCCCCTTATTTGTTTAAAATTGCACTACTCTTTGAACACTTTCGCAAACAATAAACAAGGAAAACTATTAAAAGCTAACAAGACGAAACATTTCAATTAGTCGATGTTTCATAAATAACCAGTTTTTTACATTTTTTTTTACTAAACTCTGAAATACTCATTAGCGTATGTTATATACTTCTACGAAATTATCGCAACAAAATCTCCTCAAGCGTGCCACCAATTGAGTTTTTACTGTAGATTAAAGATTTTCTGATCTATTTCCCTTGAAAAATTCACGACAATTTGAACTCGATTGTTGCTGGTTTTTATCATCAATCAGAACTTTTGAATAAAAAAATTAAACTATAGATCATGAATTGTGATGAAAAAACCATAACTTTAACTAGAATTTTTCAAAATTATCTTCATTCAATTTCAGATTCAGTAAAAATTAATATTAATAATGATTTTTACGTTTTTAACAAAAAAATTATTAACTTTACCTTCTCGCGGAGTGTGTATGGAGAGTGCTGAGCACATAATTCAACATTATAATGAAAATATTTCTTCTTGAAATGGTTTGTAAGTTCCTCGCTGCTATGAGTATAAAAGTTACAGTTCGAACACTTTAAAACACCGCATGTTCTACGATGTCTTGACGCATCTGAACGTGTGTATTCTCTGCCACATACAAGACATGCAACTCGTTCGTTTATATTCAGTGACGGCATCTCAATAAAAAGAGAAAAAATAAATGGGAGATTTAGAATGTCCCAAATTTTTAGAAACGAAAAGTTGAATAGCCTCAAAAAATTAATGAAAGTAAATAAAAACAGCAAACTTCTTAAACAGTTGTTTTTAACGTGATAGAAAATCAGAATAGACATGCTATTTAGCCTAGCTGAAAATAAATTCATGCAATCTAACAATGGAGTTTTCGAAAGTTTTGCTATCAACCAATCAGATTCGAGTATTAATTATAAGGAAACTTTTATCTTTTCTGATATCAACCAATCAGAATCGAGCATTCCTTCACAGTAAAATTTGTGGTAATAACCAATCAGAATGAAGTATTCACAGATTTTAAATTATTTTACAGACCAGAACAAAACTATGTTTATAAAACTTCCCAATCGGTTAATTTTACTGAATTTTTCTGACATAACTGATATACAAATTTGACACCAAACTGAGATAATTTAGTTTTCTTGTCTGGTTTATAAAATTTTATCAATTTTCAATTCAAATTTTGAAATTTCGATCAAAATTTTATTGATT